GAAATCACATCTTGGAATTTACATATGAGACACCTATTGGAGAAATGTAGATCAAAGGTGATCGGAGTTCTGTGAAAGAGGTGACATGTCATTCATACTGCATGGAATTTCCTTGGGATCGTCAAACAACCTGTCACCTGGGATCTCTTCCCTGCTCTTTGAGCAGTGGGGCTCCATTTAGAATACTGGGTAGAAAAGCTTCTTAGGATCAAGGTCAAGGAGCCACCTTTGTGGGGGTTGAAGGCCCAATTCTTCATGAAAACACACAGTTGGTAGAAAGAGCCTTGGTTCAATTTCTGACTCAACTGCCCACTGGCTGTGAGTCTTGGACAAATTCCTTCACCTCTCTGAACCTTGGTTTCATCCATTCTAAAATGGGGGTGGGATTTGCTGTTGGTTGCCCAAACTGATGCTGTTTTGCAACTAACATGGAAACCAAACTTGAAGCCCTGGCCGCCCACGCTGGGATTTGAGATTAACTGGGGCAAAGGGCTGAAGTGGTGGAGGAGCCAAGGACAGAGGAATTTATGGCAGCTCTGGGTTTATGGTTTTGATATGGGTTTATTAAGCTCGCTCTAGTTCTGCAACAGCTCACCCCCACAGCCGTGCTGTCAGGGCCGTGCACGAGGCCTCCATTGTAACATGATGGAAAGTACTTCCTGGTACTTGTGAGTGGAAGGAAGGAGAAGAGGAAGGCAGAGTGGCCTGGGGTTCAGGCGAACAGCAATGGGTGCTCTCAAGGCTGGGGAACTTAATGGTTAGCCTCTGGCAAGCTGTGGGTGAAGTGTGCACACACTCTGACGCCTGGTGGCGGGTGGCTGTGGCTAGTGGCTGTGGCTGTGGCTGGTGGCTGTGGCTGGTGGCTGTGGCTGGTAGCTATGGCTGTGACTGGTGGCTGGCTGCTGTGGCTGGTGGCTGGTCCCTTTTCCACCTCCTAGCACAGCTCTCTGGTAACCATGATCTCATTCAATTGAATCTTGACAACACCCTGGAGGGACTATCGTTCCCAGCTTACAGATAAGGCTTGATGAGGTGGAATGACCTGACCAGTTTACATTAATCATTAAGAGGTGTGCCCTCCCAGATCAGAACTGCTGCCCCCCTGGAACGAGCTGAGAGAGCCACCCTCATCCACCTACGAGAGGGTGTCGCGGTGTCCGGTGAATGTTAGCACCCGGCTCTGGGGGTGGGGCAGCCCGAGCTAGCGCCTGCTAGTTCTCCCGGTGCACACACCCTTACCACTGTCAACGTGGCATTGCTGATCCCAGAGCGGGCAGCTCTGGCATGGCCGAGTGAAAGCGACGCCGGGTGTGTGGGGGCCGCAGGGCAGCACTGCACACCTGCTTCCCAGGGAGACGACACAGTGACTTGCAGGCTGTGCTGGAAGCTCTCAAGGGCGTCAAGCCTCCCTTCATTCTTTGCTAAAATGACCCTTGCTTGGAGGAAATTTCCCTGTCCAACTCATCCCTTGCTGCTGGTAGGTTGGCTCAGACCCCCGGAAGTGGTCCAGAACAGGGTTTCATCCTGATGCTGATGGTAGGTGACAGGCATTTAGGCCTTCTTGCCATTCTTCCAGATCTATCCATCACCCCCTCCCTTCTCCCTTCCTCTCTTAACAAGCTGAATACTGAGTACTCATATTTTATCAATGAATCAAGAGACTGGGGTCAGATTTCTACCGCCGCCAACCATGGGAAACCACTTTCCCCAAGGTTGTTTCTCACTGCGAAGTGTAGTGTGAATGTAGGGTAAAGTGTATAATTAGGACCAGTCTCAGAAGATAAAAGACTAATGGTTGTAAACACCTTTTGCATGCTGTAAAGCATTATAGGGGGCCTCCCCGGTGGGGCAAGGAGTTGGGTCGCAGCACTCGGAGGCTGCCTGTAGCCACCACAGCACAAGTTCGAGACCCGGCCAGGGAGTGACCCAGATGGTGCCGCAAACCTCGCCTGTGTCCCCGCTGCTCCCCTCAGCAGTGTACTTCAGCAGATCCGCCTGTTCTCACTCTGTCTCTGGTGAATCCCCTCACGCACCCCTCCTGCCCCACCCCTCTGGCCTGTACCCCGGTTCTTGTGTGGTATGTATAAATAAATAGATCTTTAAAAAGAATTATAGAACTGTTTGTTTCAAGTATTAATACTTCAAAGGAAGAAAAGATACCCATCCGAGGACTTAGAAAACATACTTGCTATTTATTTGGTTTTATAAATTTGTTAAAACACACGACAGTAAAAAGGTTTTTTGCTTCTTTGCCCCATTGGGATGCAGTGATGGGATAGAGCGGGGTCGGGGGAGGTGGAAGGACCCAGCCAGCACAGGACCTAGTAATGTCCACTCCCTCAGAGATGCTGGGCCTCCTGGCCGGACGCTGCCCACTTCCAAAAGGCTTGATGCAAATCTCACAATTCTTCCCCATCAGGGAAACTCACAGAGCAATGTGGAGAAGCACTTGCCTTGACCATAAGGAATCTAAGCGAACCCGCTTCCAGCCTTCTCCGGGGCTCTGTCCTCTGGGGGAGGCACGTGCATCCTGGAAGCCTTTGAGAGTTGCCTGGGGCAGGTGAGGGCCAGGTTTGCACTCCCAACCCCTTTTGAGCCCATCAGATTTTTGTTTTAGGACCACAGCCCGGTAGTGGGGGAAGAAAGATTTTCCTGTACAACGTCCTCGGTTTGTAACCAGGAAAGTAAACTCCTTGTTCTGTGTTTTCTACATGCCACTAAAATTACTAAAGCAGACCGGCTTGCTCGTGCCGGAAGGGGCGGACCCCAGCCCCGGAAGATGGCTGCCATCTTAGGCACCCCGAGCCCGCTCGCCCCAAGGGGTCCTTCTCTCAACTTCACTCCTGGACGAGACCTGAGCAGCCCAGGGGTCCAGGGGTGGAGGACAGAGTGGCAGTGACCGAGGCCACCACCAGGGCGCCAGCCGCCCCACCTTGCCCTGGCCAGTCTGAACCCCTTCCTGGGACTTCTGGGGAACCCATGTGAGAGGCGGTGGAGGAAAGCCTGAGCAGTGGGCCGTCTCCCCTGGGGCCCAGGACAGGGCCTAGTGGATCCGGAGAAGCAGGGTATTCTCTTGGACAGGGCTCCATTGGCAAGGAAGACACCACTCCTGCGGGGGTCTCTGGCCCGGGGGTGTCAGTCCTCTCCACTCAGGGCTCTGTGGCCAGTCGACCTGCCACTCGCCACCCAGGCTCAGCTCTGTCCCAAGGCACGTGTCTTCGAGATCCCCCAGCGTGGCAGTGCTCCAGAATTGTTCAGGCACCTAAGATTCTGCATGATGAATGCTGGCTGCTCCATCCGGGGGGTAATGTTTCCAGAAGGTACCTCAAGTCATGCTTCCCAGAGCAGGTCTCAAACCCAGTCCAACCCCATCCTCTGCCCCCAAACAAACCAGGCCACATTGCTCTGTCTCCAAGACGCAGACTCTACATCCTTCACCTCCTTGGGGAGCAGAGAGAAGAGGGGCCCACGAGTTAGGAATTTTCCTTGTTTATCTATGAAAAGGACTCTGGACCCCAACCAGACTTGACTACAACTTCAGGCCTTCCCTAGCCCCAGACGTGGTCAGAGTTCCAGGCTGCTACGGCAGGGAGGAGGTAGGAAGCCCCCGTTGTGGTCAGTGACGACAGAGTCCCTTTCCAGAGAACATTTCTGCCCCTGTGGTTCAGGGCTCTTGTCCCCTCCGCAGACCTGGGGCCCGGAGCTGTGCGAGGTCCAGGAGAATCACTTCACCTCTTAGGTCTCAATTTCATCTTCCAAAATGAGCTCTGGGCAGCAGGGAAGGAGGAAGGAGGGAGCTGGTGCGCGCCAGGGGCCTTGGGGCAGAGCCAGCTTTAGGAAGACCTGAGAGGGCCCCACGGGACACCCGTGGTACCGCCCTGCGCCAGGGGAGCACGGTCGGTCATCTCCATCCCGCCTCAACTCCCTCACCTGGATCTCACCATCAGCCCCATCCGACCTCCTGCTCGCCCACTGTCTCACTCTTGGGGCCGCTGGATTTGTTAGCATGCTCAGCCCTGCGCATCTCTGCCGGCGACGGGCTGCTCCATCTGGCGTGTGAGGCCACCCGTTGTCTGGCACGGCCCCTCTGTTCCGACAGCCAGTCTCTTCATGGCCTCCCTCCCACCCCTTCTTCTGACCTCCAGGGCCTTGTCCAGGCTGCCTGCCCTTCCTTGGAATGTCCCGCCTCACATTCTCCTCCAGCCCAGCCCCACTCTTCCTTAAAGACCGCGTGTATCCTCCCCGCCATGTTCTGATGCTTTCTCCGAGTCCCCAGCCCTCCTTCTGAGTTCCTGTGGCTGTTGTCCACCTGCAATTGTTCTCTTGGTGAAAGCCTAGAGGGCTCATCCCCCTGGCCCACAGGGCCCACCCAAAGCCTGAAGAAGGGGATGGCTGTAGGCTGGAGGAAGGCTGGTGCCTTCCATCTCCACAGTCTCCTACACAGGGCCTACCCGCTTCAGTGCTTAAATATGTCCCTGAGGTGATGGAGGGATTATCTCCAAGTCTTCCTCAGCCTCTGGAGGGGCGGTTTTGGAGCCACTAGACTGGCTGAGGAGGGTGACAGTGGGGTTGGGGAGGAGCACTGGAGGTCGGGGCAGCAAAATGGGGGAGAGGCCCAGGCGCCGTGACCTGACCCGCCTCAGAGGGCTCTGGACACTGTGACTGTATCTGGAGGGAAGAAATAACAGTCTGAGAAGGAGGCACCATGTTTCAGTAAGGTCCTATGTCTCCAGACGATAGTCCTTTGGGGGTGAGGAGTTGAGGGTGAGAGGATGAGAGGGAAGGCAGTAACTTCAGCAAGAAGAATTTGTCCAAGGCAGCAGAGGACTTTGAGCTGGGGTCTCCCCGAGTTCCAGCCCCGTCTTCCAGAGCATCAGTGAAGGGTGACAATGGTATGTGGGACTCGGCCCAAGTCTGAGGGTTTTCACCCTTGCCACTGGGGCCCTGAGATCGCCCTGCCGTCACAGCCTCCTTCAAAGGACCAGCACCAGGGGCTCTCCGAGGGGGCTGGGAGACCCGACCCCCATTGGCGGCTAGATGACTTCCTGCTTGGTGATGGTTGGCTGGGGGATGGCGGAGGGGGGCTTGACAATTGTGGTGATGGCACCTGGCAGGAGCTTGTAGGGTTCAGACCCGGAACTACCTGGTGGCGAGGGCTGTGGAGTCTCAGGGGTGGCTGCAGGGATAGAAAAACAAGCAAGGGCTGCTCAGAACCCCAAGTCTTTGGCCTAGGAGCATTTTAGCGCCCCCCCCCCCGGACCTTAGTTTCCTCTCCTACAGAAGAGTTAAACTAGCTAATTTTTTCTCAGGTTTATAATTCAAACCTTCTGAGTTCTAGAACATAAAGCCCATGTTCCATGAGGTCTGGAAGGCTCTTGGCTCCGATTCCATCAATCCCTGTCCTGTCCAACATTTGAGATGGAGATTTGGCTGCTTCTTTCCTGTCTCCCAGGGCCAAGTCTGACTGCCCATAAAGACAATAGGACATGTGACAGGAAAACCCTTTCCTAAAGAGAAGGAGCAACCATTGATGAGATCAAAGGGTCTGGAACTAACTGGCTGAACAAATAGCAGTTCTTTGCTGTTTAGGTAGATGAATAATGCAAACAAATTGGTTTTACCACCTTCACAGATATGGAAAAAAACCATGATCTAGTTAGACAACTTCCCCAAAGAACAGTCTCAATGAATTGCAACTTCCTGTTAGTGAACTACCTTGTCCCATCTCAAATGTTGGACAAAATGACTTTACTCTGTAGAACTTTGCCCAGTGACAAGCAGACCCTGAAGAGATTTCACCTAGCAGACCCCCCCAACCCAGTGAATAGTCTCATCCCATGGTCTCATGGATAGCTTTACCCAACTGGGCAGCCTAACTTCAAAGAACAGTTTTACCTAATGGACATCACCTAATGGAATTCTAATCCCAAAAGACATGCTCACCCAATGGGCAAACTCATCCAGTGGATGCCTCATTCCAAGGACAGCTGCATTCAGTACAGGTTATCAATCATCTCACTGAATAAATGGCCTCACTGAATCAATAGCCTTAGAAATGGCCCATCTCACCACCACCCCACCACCATTCCCTACCTTGTTGCACAGAGACCTGTTATATCCAGGTTCCCATATTCTAAACCCAACCTTTTTCTATCTTAGGCCCCAACCTCATCCCTTCCTGGATAAAACCCAAGTTGCCCACCTGCCTGCCCCCTGGGTCGGGGCCACTCACACATCTGTCCATTGCTGAGGTGAGTAGGCATTGTGTTGGCCACAATGACATTGGTGCCCATGTGTTCCTGCATCAGGTGAGGGTGCAGAGGGTGATGGGCATGAGGTGCGTCGCTAGAGGACCCTGAAGGTAGAGAGGAACACAGTTGGGATGGGGAGGCCAGAATAAGGACCACAGGACTTGCATTCTCCTCTGTAGGTGAGCCAGTCAACCTGCTCATCCAATACTGACAGCTCCTATTCGGTTCCTATTTCTGGCTCGTAAACTAGGGGTTACCATTCCTCTCCATAGTCTTCATGAGGGTATTGAGAAGACCGAGCAAAACCAAAGAACAAAGTGATTTGAAGAAGTGAAGAGCATGTTTGGAAGGTGTTAGACCATTCACATAGTGTCATGACTAGCGTACTGGCCGCATGTCAACAGAGTACATCTATTCAGTGATGCCCAAAGCTCCTTGACACTCAAGGCTTCTAGCCATTTGATCCCACCTCACCTTTCAGCTTCATCACCCACACCTGGTCTGCTTACAGTGTTCCCTGTACTTCCCTGTCTCTAAGCTTCTTCTATCTCCCCTCAGAGTGAGACACTTTTCAAACGTTGTCTACACTTGCTGTGTCCACTTCTTTATTTTTGCACTTCCTCACTCACTCACTCCGGAGCTCCCTGCCCCAATTTGGTTTCCCCTGACAGTGCTGTCGACACAATTGCCAAGAGCTTTCCTGTTGCAACGAGTAGGAAGGCAGGAGCCTCGCTACTCCTCCTGTAGCATTTAGCAAATTAAATGTAGTGTTCTTAACAAATACTCTTCTCTTGGATTCAGACACTGCTCTTTCTTTTGCCATATCCCCTGGCTGGTCTTCACCATCTCACATGGCACCAAATTGCTGGAACTCCACCAAGCTGCCTCCACCCTGAGCTTTGGGCTTGCATTGGACCAACACACTTTCTGAGCTGCCTCTCTCATAACTCAAACTGAGTGTCCAGTAGTCTCAAGTCCAACTAAAGTCTCAGCTGGAGCTCTTGGCTCATCCCTCCCCAAGCCCATGCCCGGACTCAGTCTTCCCCAATTCGGTAAATTGCTCTAAGCAAAACGGAGGTTTATCTTTTATCTTTTCCCTACCCTCATTCCCCACATCTGATCCACCAGCAAATCCTGTGGATTCTTCATCTAAATCAATGACGACGTTTGTCTATGCCACCAAATTTCTAACCGTGGCTAAGCCTCCATGTCCTTCCCCTTAAATGTACTTGCTACTTGGCCCTCCCTGGTGGCGCAGTGGGTTAGAGCACATCACTAAGAAGCTAAAAAGCTACTTCCACATGACTTCAATTCCCGCCTGCCGCAGAGGTGACTGCATGGCGCGGCAGACCTCTCCTGACCCGCTGGCTGCTCCCCTCAGCAGTGTACTTCGTCCATCTGCCTGTTCTGCTCCCCGCTCTGTCTCTGGTGAAACCTCTTGCCGCTCCTGAACCTCTGGTCTGTACCCCAGTTCTGCACACATAAATAAATCTTGAAAAAAAAATGTACTTGCAACTCAATAGTCAGAGTTGTGTAAAACATTAGTTTCCCTCTCTGACAAAAGTAGCAATAAAAGTAAAATTCAGCTTTCTGGTCAAGGCCCACAGGACTGTGGCTATCATGCGGCTGCGCCCAACTTCCAGCTCCACCTCATATGACCCCACCTCACCCAGCCTCACTACCGCATCTTTCGTTCGGACACACACAGGCTTCTCCTACCTCGGGAACTTTGCATGAGCTACTTTTGATGGAAGGTATTTTTCAAAAAATTTTAAAAAAAATTTCTACTTTTAGCCATTAGATGTTAGCACAAAGTCACCACCTCTGAGCAGTCTCCCTTCGCCAATCTAGCTGAAAAGACCTTTTTTTTTAAAGATCTTTTTCTACAGTATTACCTGGCTACTTCAAGGTCTGAAGTTACCATCTTTATTATATACTTGGCTATTATTTACACACCCATGAGGTCAGAGATCTCGTTTACTGTTGCGAATAAATGAGACATGATCCCCATTTTTGAGATGAGGGAACAGAGAGAGGCTTGGGCAGGCTAAGGGACCCGCCCAAAGCCAGGGCAGACACCATGGAGACGAGAAGTGAGCCCCGGTCTGCGGGAGCACCCCCGCCCCCCACACCCTGCCCACCTCGCAGCCCCTCCTGGGCCTGACACGGACCTCCCAGCAGCATCTCCTGCAGCAGGTTGTCGATCTTGGCCATGCCGAAGAGCTTGATGAACTGGATCTGCTCGATCATCTGCCAGGTGATGCTCTGCAGCGTGGGCAGCAGCAGCAGCAGCTCGCCGAAGCGGCCGCGCGAGTCGTACTGGCGGTCGTTGATGTAGTCCTCCAGGCTGACCTGCACCTGGGAGCGCAGCCGCTTGATCTTGCCGGGGTCGCTCAGCCCCTTGGCATCTGCAACGGGAGGGGCCCAGTGTGCTTTGATTCAGGGCCGGATGGGGAGACCGACTGGCCCTAGGTCGCTGGGGTGCCCTCACTGGCGCTGGCATGCAGCTCGAGGACCAGTGTCCTCGAGAACCAGGGTACAGTAGTGCAAACTGTAGCTTCCTAGACTTGGGCAGAGAGTGGGGTCTGTCCCATTTCCTAAGAGGTAGAGCTGAGAGAGGGGCATGAAGGATGGGGAGCAGAACTTCAGGAACTCCTCGGGGAGGGTGCTGAGCTCCGTGTTACATCTGGGACAGGGAGGCCACCGAGCCGGTCATTAACCGCTGGCAGAGCCCTGACGTGGACGTGGGGTTCCCGACTCACAGTTGAGGCATCACCGTCCAGACCGCAGCCCTGTGCTCTGGCGGCCTTAGAACGGAGCCCCGCACACCGCTGCCCCGGTGTCTGTGACGCTGGGTCACACCGAGGTTCCTCCAGGAAGCCTTCTCTTGTCCTCACTCCCAAGTCGGCATGACGAGTATCTATCATGTCCCAATGTTTCTGTGGCTCCTTGTCACCGCTGACCACACAGAACATGGCTGTCTTTCCCACTCCGCTCTGAGCTCTGGCCACATATTTCTGTTGTCGCCTAGCACCACATGTAGCCATGTTGTTGACAGCCCCCCCCCGTGTCCCCCCGAATGTGGCCTCTAACATGCACAGAGGGAAGAGAGCGAACAAGCCTTTGGGGTCCAGGAAACTTGACAGTGGAAAATGAAATCAGGCTTGGCACAAAGCTATCACCATACAGACGTGACCCAGAGATGCAGGTGGGAAGTTGGGAGGTAGAACTGGAGAAGGGAGGGTGGAAGGAAAGAATGGCTGTGCGGGACAAAATCCTGCTACTTAGTGTCAGCCCAGAGAAGGGGGAAGCACAGGACAGCACTGTCAGCACAATGGATAGCGCAGGAGGAGTGGGGTGGGGCCGGGGGGTGGGGAGGGGGGGGAGGGTGACAGGGAAGAGTGAGACCTTCAGCTATTGGAGGAGGAAAAGCACAATCTCAGATGGCGAATTCGAGATCCTGAGGGTGCAGAATAGAGTGAGAGCTGTAGAGATGCCTGCCAGAAGAGACAGGGAGAAGATTCAGAAACGGTGGCCCCGGGATGGGCTTTGGGCAGGAACACCTGGGAGAGGTATTGGCATTTTTAGTACGTGCATTTTAGTACGTGCATTTTTAGTATTGGCATTTTTAGTAGGTGACTTTTTTTTTTTTTGAGGAAAAGATGAAAGGAAAGAAAAGAGAGGAGAGAGGAGGGAAGGGAAGAAAGGGGAGGGAGAGGGGAAAGAGAAGGCAAAGACCCCGGCCTTTGGAGTCAGCTCAGCCCGACATCTCTCTGGACCTCGAGCTAGCGCATCCGTTAAATGGGCCGACAGAAATAAGCCTCCCCTGGCGTCTGACTGAACAGTGAGCTGGTCCAGGTGAGCTGGTCCAGGTGAGCTGCAGTCCGGCGCACAGCCCAGCGGGCGTGGGCGGCGGCGGGGGGGCGCCCTACCTGGGTCGAAGAAGATGATGGCCTTGAGGCAGGCATACTCGTTCTCATCGATCTGCAGCTCCTGGAAAGGCAGCACCAGCTCGTCCAGGATGCGCACGGACACCCGGCTCATCTCCGCCAGCTCGGGGCAGTGACGGGGGACGATGTAGTCATTGCCTGGACGGGTGTGAGGCGGGGCGTGGGCAGGCGGCCGCAGCTGCAGGCTCGCCCCTTGCTTCAGACAGGCCCTGCCTTTTTTGCAGGTGGCGATGCGGCTGCACCCATGGGAAGAAGGCACAAAAGAGACTGCACCCCCATTTTACAGGTGAGGAAACGGAAGCCCGGAGGGAAGGCATCAGCTGCCTGGAGCCTCTGGCCTTCACGGGGAGCCCTGCCTTCTAGGACCCCGGTCACAGCATCCAGGCTCTTCCAACACAACCCACGAGAC